TATATATATATATATATATATATATATATATATATAAATTTTATTTTTCTAGTCCCACATCCTGGTCAAGTCGACCAAGATCCGACTAGACCCGTTGCTAGAAAATAGAATTATAGAGAATCAAATAATAATAATAAACTAAAATCTATAAAACATTAAATTACCTTCAATATATTCTAATATTAAATTTTGATAAATGATTTAAACCTCTCCAAAGCACATTACAACTACAAGGAATATTTATAATATAGACTATGCATAACTCATCCTATACATGTGAGTTTTTAGTCACTAGGCCTACATCATGGGTCAATACTGATGCCATATCTTTTTTGGTTTTGGTTGTGGGCAAGTTATCTGTGCACCTACAAGATGAGGTACCGTGGTGCGTGTTGTTTGTAGATGACATAGTTTTGATTGATGAGATTAGAGACATCATCAATATAAAGTTAGAACTTTGGAGGGATGTTCTAGAATATAAATGTCCTAAAATTAATTGGACTATGACAAGATATATCAAATGCAAGTTTAGTCATAATAAGAGAAGAAATGATGAAGTAGTTAAAATTGATGACCAAGAAATATCTAAAAGATGTTATTTTCAGTATCTTGAGTTGATAATACAAGAGAATGAAGAGATTGAGGAAGATCTTATACATAAAATTATAGCTGGATAGGCAAAGTGGAGATATGCATTAGGAATTTTATATGATCGCCCCATACCAATGAAATTGAAGATGAAGTTCTACATGACAGCTGTAACAACAGTCTTGCTTTATAAGACAGAATGTTGCGAGGAAAAAAAACAATATATCTATAGGATGAGTGTACGTGAGATGATGATGTTGAGATGAATAAATGACAAGACAAGAAAAGATAGAAATTTGGAATGAATATATTTGAGATAAGTTAGGTATATCTTCAATAGGTAATAAGATGAAAGAAAATAGATTTAAATGGGTTGGTTATATGTAGCGTAGATCTAAAACATCACATATTAAGACAATAAGCAATAAGATCGAAAAAAAATAGACTTAAATGGGTTGGCTATATATATCTAGACCTAAAACATCACAAAACATCACATATTAAGTGTTGCCACTTGTTCAAGTAGAAGGTTATAAAAGAGGGGGAAAACACAAAAAGAAAAGAATAAAAGTACCGGAAGAAAGATACTTGGGTATTACCCTTGGTAGAGAGAAATGACAACGTATGATTAGTGTCAAAGCCTCAAATAATTAGAATAAATATTATATTTTAATGATGAGATTGATAAATATAACCCATCCATCAAGAGTGGGGCACATGACATTGTACCTCTCTTTTATTCCAAACCAAATCAGTTCTCCGTTGCTAATTTACTCCCTTTGAACGTCAAAAGCACGCCCAATTCCTTTGAATCTATTAAATTCCTGTGAATCTCGAAGGAAAGTTTCTTTAAAAGATTGATTAGCGAATGCGCTGAATTTCAAGAACCATTCTTCTGGGTATATACATTTTTGCTTTTTTTATCTATTAATTGAAAAGCTCTATTTTTCATTGATGTTCAGTTCACAATATTATATTTCATTGGAAGCCAAATGAAACTTAAATACGCGTGCTTCCCACTAGATACAGTATAATTATATTTTTCAGGAAGAAGACAGAGATCCCATTTAGTGCTTCAGTGCTTATTTTAGATCATACCCACCAAACCCCATTTTTATTTTGGGTGGGTTATCTTTCCTGGTTTCAGTTACCCATCTTCCTCCCTCCTCAAGCTGCTGTGAACAGGTCCTCTTTTCCTCTCTTTCTGTAAGCATTCTGAAACGAGTTATTCAGTTAGAGCTGTTTTACTGTGACAAGTAACTCACACATATAAGAAAATCATAGCATGCATCTTCTGCAAGCTTACTACTCAGAGTATTATTATTCTACTTCTTCCTCTTCTTTGGGGTTTTGAACGATTGCGTAATCCATGTTCTTCAGTTTTTTTCTTCTTTTTATGTGCATGATAAAATGATGGAGCATTTTTGGTGAAGGCTAGTTGAAGGGATTGAGCTCTCTCTTCCTCTGCTTTTCTTCTCGTTGTGCGTAAGTTGAAGGTTCTGAGCTTTGGATCTTTTAGCATATCAAAGTATTGATCTTTTTGTTGCAGCATGCCTTGCAGTAGAAATTTGATTGGTTTCACTCTTATATAAAAAGGTCTCCCCTTTAAACAAGTTTGAGAAAGGAAAATAGACCATTGGGTTCTCATACGGTGACTCTAATGTGGGATTTTTTATGGCCTAATTTGATTAGGCTGGTTTTAATTTATTTATTTTTTTAATCATATACCCCTTTTTCTGTTTTGTTTGTTCTAATTAATTTTACTTTCATTAAATTTTTTGACTGCATTTGAGAAATGATCACTAGGTCTTTAAAAATTGAAACAGAATTCCCATTTGTGGTGGTATACATTGTTGTTGGTCGGTTTATTTATTAATTTTTTGCTGTAGACGCCTTTTCTGGTTTGTTTTGTTTTTCCTTGAATTTGAATTCCTTTGTGTTATATGAAAGCGATCTAACATTTAATTGAATCCTGTTACTGTTGAGTTTGCATGTTTTCTTTAGTTTTCAAAGTATTTCTTTTCTGACTTTTCGGAGTTGGGTGTTCTTACTTCTTAAATTATGAGAGTTCTTGGAACTTTACATTTTTAAATAAGAGAATTTGGCATCTGCGAAGTTTTAAATAAATGTGATGCACTCTTAACTCATGAAAATCTGTTGGTTATTTGCATTTTTGCAGACAACATACGAAGCATTGAATAGCATATTCTCCTTCATATATGAGGTGTTTTAATATCTGATGTGACCACCTAAAATTTTGAGTTTTTTCTCGGAATAGGAGGGAAGAAGGTTAAATCCTCTAGGAACTGCATATTCTTCATCATATAGCCCCTCATCAATGGCGAGCCCTGATTTTGAAGATGGTTTCTCAGCTCAAAAGCTCTTCAACCAAGGGACAAGCTATACATATGACGACGTGATCCTCCACCCTTACTTCATAGATTTCCCTTCTGAAGCAGTCAACCTAACTACCCACCTTTCCAAAAATATCACTCTTTCGACTCCTTGCATTTCCTCTCCTATGGACACTATAACCGAGTCTTCCATGGCTGCTACAATGGCTGCCCTAGGTGGTATTGGCATTGTCCATTGCAACAACAAGCCTTCTGAACAGGCCTCCATTATTCAAAAGGCCAAATCTGTTTGCATTGGTTTCACTCATGACCCGCTATGTCTCTCCCCTTCTGACACTCTTCGAACCTTGACTGAGGACTCCTCACCCTCCCCATATGCCCTAATCACAGAGTCAGGAACCCTAAATTCTAAGCTCTTGGGTATCCTCACTGAGAGAGACTTCTTCTCTGTCAATGATCTCGAAACCCAAGTGAAAGACGTGATGACTAAGGTTCCCATCTGCACTAGTTCTAAGCTATCCTTTGATGAGGCAGCTGCGTTTTTGATATCACAAAAGCTTAAGTATCTTCCCATTGTTTCGGATGACGAGTTACTCGTTGATTTGTTGACGAGGGAAGATGTGAAGAGAATGAGGGGTTTCCCACCTTCGAGTGTGGCTTCTTCCATTGGAGAAGATGGGAAGGTACTTGTAGGGGTGGCGATTGGGACTAGAGAGTCAGATAAGGAGAGGTTGGAGCATGTTGTTAAGGCTGGGGCTAATGTTGTTGTTTTGGATAGCTCGCAAGGGGACTCAATTTATCAAAGGGAGATGATTGGGTATATTAAGAGAACTTATCAGGGATTGGATGTGATTGCAGGGAATGTGGTGACAGCATACCAGGCACAAAATTTGATAAAGGCTGGTGCCGATGGATTGCGAGTTGGGATGGGGTCGGGGTCTATTTGCACTACCCAGGAGGTTTGTGCAGTTGGTAGAGGGCAGGTGAGTTACTTTTTCCCTGCCCTTACTTATTGGTTACTGTCTATATCGTTGTTGTAATTGTTTGTTCTCTTTGGGCATATTGTTGACTATCTATTTTGCTATCATGATTTTTTTTTGATGATCAATTTTTCTATGAAAATTGGCTCGTCTTTTTCAGCTTTATTGCTCTGATGTTGTTATGCGACCCTTGAAGAGTTTGATGGCGTTATTCTTTGCCTTTATTTCAAGATTTGGTTTATGTTGCAAATGTCTTCAGTGTGGTGTCCATGTTGTATTTCAAATAGATTTACTGGTTAATGTTCATAATTGGTAGAAAAGGACATATTCTTCATTGCCAATGAAATTTTTAAGTCATTATTGTTCTCAGAATGTTTACATGGACATAGGATGAAAAAATAAGTGTTGAAGGAACTGGTTTTGGATCTAACGTCTGACATTACAAATATTGCAAATGTAGGGCTTTGCAAGACTACTGTAAGTAACTTTTAACTAGATGAAGGACCTGTAACTCCAACAGAACCATTACGTGTAATGAAATCCAACTAGGCGTTATAAGGCAATATATAAATCCTGAGGATTTTGGTACACCTGCCTTGGGTCTATACATTTGACTTACGTTATCTTGAGGCTGAATCAAGATTAGCATATGACATGGATATCTGCCCACCTTGAAAAACTTAGATACTTTTTTGTTTAGTCTATGCTAGTATTATCAAGACCGGGCTGGACTGGCAACCAGTGTACTGGCGCCTCAGCTGGTTGGTTCAGGGGCCTTGAACCTGGGGAAGCACTGAACTGGTCAAAACCAGTTTATTCTAATCATCTATCCATCTTTATTTTTATGTGTTGTATGATTTTTTATTTATTTTGACTTTTATTTATTTATTTTGTATTATATATGTTCTTTCTAGCCGACCCCAAATAGTTGGGATGAGGCTCTGATGATGATGTTGATATCTATGTTACTTCTGGTCATGTCTCCATTATTCTTTGATTGTGCTGTGTGTATTTTCAAAGGTTAATTTTGTCTCCTTAGATATAGGCTATTTTGACCTTCTATTTGTGCTGATGTATCATATATGCTACATTTTGAGAAACAAGTTTCTTTTTCTTGAAATTTGTATCCATGGATTACGTTGCTGTGCTTGTATGCTTGCTTATTCATAGGTTCCAATGTGCCATATACATGTATGCATAGGTACTTGTGGTTTTTATTTTTTATGTTTATATAAATCACATGCATTGTTATTTTTACGTACACACAGAACCTTCGCTTTCTATTTGATATCATCTAGGATATAAGGATATGCCTTTTCTCATTGATAGAAACTATTTTTCGCATTTATGAAGGCGACAGCAGTTTACAAGGTTGCATCCGTTGCTAAGGACTATGGCATTCCTGTCATTGCTGATGGTGGGATAGCAAATTCAGGACATATAGTGAAAGCTCTGGCTTTGGGGGCATCAACTGTTATGATGGGGAGTTTTTTGGCGGGCACAGAAGAGGCTCCCGGTAGCTACTTCTATCAGGTTATATTCATTGCTTACATTGTATAATTAACATGCTCATTTTGTTTTCGGGCTTTCTTTTGTAGTTGTTGTCTCTGTTTATTTGGAATTGCAATTGAAATTCCTCTGTTTCCAAATGAGGTGGTTCTTTAACCTTCGTCGACATATTGTCCATCACATTCTCATAAAGGCATCATTAAATCTGTAGAACAGGAACTGCTTTAGGGTGCTGGCAACTGGAACAACCTTGGATTAAAAACTATGCACTTTAGTCCCTGTGCACCCCATGCCCCAATTTCTGCTTCTTTTCCAACTTGCTCTCTATCTTTTCAAGGTTAATGGGTGGCTCCACACCACCACGCCCCCCCCCCCCCCCCCCCCCCTCCCCCCTCCCCCTCCCCCAACAAACGCCAAAAAAAACGAAAGAAAAATAAAAAAGAAAACAAGAAAAAACATGCGTGCACACACACACACATGTTGCAGAGAGGGAGTGTAGGGTGGCATCTGTCGTCTCCCTTTATTTAGGCATCCACAAACATGTCACTATTTTGTAGGCTTCTGATAGTGTTTGGGTGGAGCCAAAACCTTGATGTAGCATTCAGCTAATTTATAGTCGCTATTTTGATCGTGTTAAATTTCCAAGCATCTCAAGAATTACTTTCTCAAGCATTAAGCTGTCATTTGTTTTGTGCTGTTATGTAATTAAAATTTTAATTATATCATAAAAGATCAAACATGCTCCTGACAGATCCAACATGATTTGTGTACATTGATGAGTCTAGCATTCAGCTATGGAGTCATCCAATCAATATCATAATCTCCATGGGATCTGCTTGCTATTTGAATTCTAAATAAATTTTTCTGGCCTTCACTGAGTCACTAACGTTAGTCTAGCCCTAGCTTCAAGAACCAGTACTATGTCTTCTTCATTCAGCTAATTTTCAGTGCCAAAACTATGCAGACCACGTCTGAGAATTTTCAGATGATTCTTACATTCAGACGGAATTAAAATTGGAATTTTAGTCCTCAAGTCCCCCACCCCTTTCTTGTTCTAAGGATTTGGCTGTATATGATAGCCCTCATGTCAGTCATGCATTTGATATTGTATGGTCTTAGTTTACCTTTTGATGGCCATTTTTATAATTTATGTTTTATCAAGGTGTGGCTGGATTACAGGACCTGCATATACTCTTGTCCTATCGTTTGAAGGAAACCATCGTGTGTGCCTTGTTCAACTGAGACTTCTTGGAGCATTAGCCCAGTTAATTTCTATACAAAGTAGGACACAATTCAATGCAAAATAGGACATGACTCATTATTCTCATCATCCGAGCATTATCCCAACTGGGGTCGTCTACTCAAATCTTGTCGCGCCATTCAGGACTCATTAAAAGATGTGGGAAAGTTTTATACTGATCGCCTACATAACACAACCCTCCTTGTTTATCAGGCTTGGGACCGGCATGATCGGCTTGGGTTGGCCATGGCTGAGTTAAAGTAGGACAAAATTCGTAGCATTTACGAAATCTGACTAAAGCTCACTAGTTGGCTCGTCTCAGGCACCTTTGGAGTGCTAAAACAAGTAGGCTTGCAAGGAGTGAAAAAAAATTGAGTTTCAGAAAGACTTGCAAAGTTCTTTTTGGATCTTAGATGAGTTGCAATTTTTTATCCAACGCTTATTCGCGTCCTTCAAAAACCACAAATATTCAATGGATATGAAGTCTTACAAGTCTAGTCTAGGAAAATCAACTTGGAAGAGGGCTTTATGTCATGTTTAGCTGTGAGTGGTTCATCCATGTGATAAATTTTATTGTTGTTTAAAGTTTCAAACTCCTCCATGTGGACCATTTCAATTGGGCCTAGAAAAGTGGTATCTGTCATCCTTTTTGTTGTTATAAATCCATTATTTATTTCAGTAGTAGGATCATTAAATGTGCTTATGCTCATTATGATGTCCTAGGCTACTTCTTTTGTTTGAAGTGTGCAGTATTTGTGAAAAAACAATGATTACACTATTATGGACACTATGTTGTATGATCATTTGCTTATGCTCATTGTAATGTCCTAGGCTACTTCTTTTGTTTGAAGTGTCCGGTATTTGTGAAGAAACAATGATTACACTATTATGGACACTATGGTGCATGTGTTTTGACTGTTTTAACTTTTCATCCCTAGAATGGACGTCGGCTTAAAAATTACCGGGGCATGGGTTCCCTTGATGCCATGTTAAAAGGGAGTGATGCTCGATACCTGGGTGACAAGTCAAAGCTAAAGATTGCACAAGGAGTCTCAGGAGCTGTGCATGATAAGGGCTCTATTTTGAAAATTATTCCATACACCATGCAAGCTGTTAGGCAAGGGTTCCAAGACCTTGGTGTTTCAAGCATACAGTCTGCTCATGACCGTTGCAGATCAGGGGCTCTAAAGTTTGAGGTATGGTTTGGCACTGTTTGTTTGAAATTATGCTATTGTCTGATGCATGCTCATAGTCCATTGGGTCATCACCATCCAATCCAGTGATGGGTGGTGGTGGTGGAAAGAGAGGGCCTGTCAGAAAAGGACTTGGCCCCAACATCATCCAACTGGACCATGAGTATATCATAGTTTGTTGGATTATAATACTATACTTGTGATAAATGTTTTTTTACTTATATATACCTTTCTAATGATTTGTTTAATGGTCAGAATTGTAATTAGCTGTTTTTGTAATATTTTCTTAACACTGGTGTTTTCATAGTACTTTCTCCAATAAAACTGATATTTTCATGGTTGTCCCTAGATAAAGTTATATCTTCAAAGAGACCTGCAAGGATGTCCAACTTGACCTTGAAATGGTGTTTCAGAAATAAGAACAGAATTTCTTCTTTCATTGAAACTTTTTTTTTTTGGGCCCTTTTAAGCGGGTTTGCATGGGGAATATCCTTGCAACATGCCACCTCATGCAAACTGAGTGTCGCAATACTGAGACCAAAGATCATGGATGAAAAGATTTTCGGTGATCCTCTACATAAGTTTATTTTTGGGTTTATCTCATAAAATTATTAATTTGAAAAAATGAACAACTAATTACCCAAAAAAAGAAAAATTGAACAGATGACTTCAATTTTAAATTGTATAATTACAACGGTATTCTGGTAATTGTGAAAGGGTTTCAATACATCAATTGGAAAAAATACTCATGGTGTGGTAAGTGACAGGGGGTCATATTTCTTCTGCTTTGTTTCAGATATATATCGTCTAAATATGTGTAACATGAAATTTAAGCATAGCAGTAAACTCCCATTCTTTGAAGTAATATTGCAGTAATAACTATTTGGATTTTTGGTACGACCCATATGATGCTATGTTTTTCTTTGAAGCGACTGCATTATCTATTCCTACGTTAGGTATAAATGTCGTAGTTTGGAACAATTAATACATTGCAGAAGGCATGGCTCTCACTTTGTGGAGGTTCACCTCTTACCACTTCTACACTATTCTGGGTTCCTATAGTGCCCTAAGGAGGTTGGAAATTTGGTAATGGGGATATATGATGTATATCATAGTCCTATGGTTGTGCTATATTTACCCCAAGGTTCTACATCCACCATCAGTATCATGTTTCCTGCTGATGGATAGTTTGGAGATCGGTTGTAAATATTAAGTTTCCCTAGTCACCCACCCGCTGCTCATCTCACACTTTCAGCCCATGCGAATGGATGGTGGATTTTGCCATAAGAATACTATATCCCCATAGTTTGGGAGACTTTCAAATAAAAGCATTTGTCACACAAAAAAGTCCCATTTAGTTGACAGCATACTTTCTGAATTGAATGGTGTTGAACCCAGGATACATGTGTCCCATCAAGAGTTAAAAGCATAGTCTTGCTATTTATATATTCCTGGGGCAATGTCAACCTGAGTTTGCTGTGATTAAGTAGAAAGGTAATAGACACAAACGGGGACACTTATGCAATGTAAACAATGTAAAAACTACATGATTTAGTACTTCGATAAAAGTAAATAATGAACCTACTGAGAATACTAAAGCTTTGACTCTCTCAAGATCCCTGAAACCATATATAAGACACCCAAGATATCCTTCTCTAGATCAATCCATGTCTTCCTGAGTGGAGTCACACAAGCAAATAAAATAATAGCTATATGAAACGAAATGTGGCAGACTTCTATTGAACCATGCAATCATTGTCAAGCATTGATAATTTTTATGCCATGATTATACTGCGTTTTTGTTTTTTTTTGGTTTTTTTGTTTTTTTTGTTTTCCTTTCCTGTGGTCCATTATTAGTACTTTCCCGTCTAGTGAGAGTATAATGAACATTTGTTTCTCTTGGGCCTCGGCCATTTTCAGGTTCGTACAGGAGCTGCACAGGTCGAAGGTGGGATACATGATCTGGTCATGTACGAGAAGAAAACCTTTTGATTGTTTGATGCCTTTACACAAAGGGTAGCCCCATTTGGCTCTCCAAGTGCCATATTTTGTTTACTCTCATGTTGTGAAGACTTGGATGTACAACAGAGCAATTTTGTTGATTCAACAAACCAACAAAAAAAAACTGAAAAAGCAATTTTGATCTAGGCAAAAATCCAAAGATCTTTTATAAAAGGACAAGTAATTTGTGTGGAGGGGCATCGGTTGAGATTCATTTCTCGACTCAGAGATGATTAAATCATAAAAATCTGCTCCTTTGATGATTGCGTTCGTAATCAGGGATAAAAATAGATTTAGAGCCCTCAGAGTGCGGCAGTTTGAATGCCATATCAAAATGTGATTAGACCAGTGTTTTAAAAAACGTCCAGTCGAACCGGACTCGACTCGGAAATCGCCAAAAAGGGATCGTATCGGTTAAAAAATCAGAAATCGTCCGGTTCTAGAGAGAACTGGACGATTCTGCACAGTGACTCGTCAAGTCACTTTACGGAATCGGCGAGTCCGTGAAGAACACGGGTTGCACAGTGTTCTTCACGGAATTCTTTGAAATTTGTCATTTTTTTATCATTTTTCTTGTTTTTTTTTGGCATGTGATCTAATTTGCAGGTTATAAACAGCTTTATTCAGCTTTTTCAAAGATTAAATGGTTGAAAAATTTGGTGTTTTTGGATCACGAAACTTACTTTTTTAGGGTTTTCGCCTTTTCTGAAAGTTTCATGTCAAATAGGGTATGAATCTTTCAAAATTTGTAGGCATTTTGATCGTAAAGCTGTGAATCAAAACCTTTTGTTACTAATTTGTGATAATCGTTGAGAAAAACAGAGTTTTTTGGAGATTGAAGGCTTCGGTTCACAAAATCAGGTAATAAGTTAGGGTTTTTTTTTTTTTCCGCCATTTGATTTATTTCACGGCATATTTTGAACATAATGAGTTCAATAATTAGGGTTTTTAATCTTTATTGTGTCTAGTATGATTTAAAATTATCAATTTTACGTAATCTGGTCAATTACAGCATGAAATTTGAGATGAACACTAAGATGTCTGCGGAACCAAAATTCTGCTTTTTTTTTTTTTTTTCCGCCTTTTGATTTTGTTTTCATGATATATTAGAAATAATGTGTTAAAAATTTAGGGTTTTGATTCTTTATATTGTTGTTTATCAGAAAATATACTCAATTGGAGGTAATTTATTCACTTAGAGGTGGATTTTTTAGTTAAAATCGTTTATGTAAAATGGCTCTGTGAAGAACAGTAAATTTTTTTTTTTTTTTTTTTTTGTGTAATACATGATCGAATGTTTTGTAATACTTGATCGATTTTTTTGTAATCCATGATTGGATTGTTTTTTTTTTTTGTAATCCATGATCGAATTTTTTGTTCGCTTTG